TAAACCTGTCGCATTTTTCTCAAGAACCTTAACAAAAATAGAACAAAATCATTCCAGTATAGAAAAAGAAGCATACGCAATAATCGAAGCTATAAGAAAATGGAGGCATTATTTAATGGGACGACATTTCAGTATAATAACTGATCAAAGATCCGTTGCATTTATGTTTGATAATAAGAGTTCATCAAAAATCAAAAATGAGAAAATATTGCGTTGGAAAATAGAATTATCATGTTACAAATTTGATATTATATACAGGCCAGGAAATCAAAACATTGTAGCTGACACACTTTCCAGGATATCTGCTGCTATTCAACCATCAACATCAGACAAAACTTTGTATAATTTACACAACGCGATGTGTCATCCTGGTGTCACAAGATTCTATCATTGGATTAGATGCAAAAATTTACCTTATTCACTAGAAGACATCAAAAGAGTTATATCCGCATGTCCGGTTTGTGCAGAGATAAAGCCGAGATTTCATAAAAACAAAGGAACTCTTATCAAAGCCATAGCACCATTCGAAAGATTAAACATTGATTTTAAAGGACCGTTACCTTCCAATAATAGAAACAAATACTTACTAGACATTGTAGATGAATATTCAAGATTTCCGTTTGCATTTCCATGTTCGGATATGTCATCTGCAACGGTAATAAACTGTTTGACTCAACTATTCTCAATGTTTGGCACACCAGGTTATATTCACAGCGATAGAGGAGCATCTTTTTTATCTGCTGATGTGAAATCATTTTTAACAAGTCATGGTGTTGCCACAAGTCGTACAACTGGGTACAATCCAGAGGGAAATGGACAATGTGAAAGAATTAATGGAACAATTTGGAAAACTATTCAACTTAAGGTTAAATCTAGAAACCTTGAAGTAAAACAATGGCAAGATGTTTTAATCGATTCTCTACATTCAATAAGATCCCTTTTGTGTACTGCGACTAATTCAACACCTCATGAACGCATGTTCAACCATCCTAGAAGATCGACTAATGGTACCTCAATGCCTACTTGGTTGAGCACCCCAGGCCCAGTTTTTCTAAAGAAACATGTTAGACATAGCAAAATTTGATCCACTAGTAGAAGAAGTGGATCTTCTGGAAGCAAATTCAGATTATGCTCATGTACGATTATCCAATGGTAGAGAAATGACTGTATCAACTCGTCATTTAGCACCAAGGGGAGATGTGACACTGTCAGAACAAGATCAAAATACCATAACACTACCAGAACAAGATAAGAATGAATTAACTATTCCTGAAGAAAACCTTACATCAGTCAGTTCAGAACGTTTGTCATCTTCGTTCCCTTTGAATGATTCAAATTGCTCTCTTCCCCAAAATTCTGAACAATCACACAATGAAAATCCTCCAGTGAAACCTACTGATGAATCCAGTTGTGTTTTGGTAAAGAGAAATCATAGGCCACCTTCATATCTTCAAGATTATGTCACAAAATGAGCGAGGAAGAATGTTATATATTTCATTACTTTACTATTTACTGTGTTCCCTATATTTATGTACCTGTATGTTGTATGTCATGTTGTCAGTTATTGTCAGAAAATACTGTATTGAATTTTAGCTTATTAAAGCCTTAATTCTAAAGGTTCTTTCACTACACATACCTCGGTGAAAAGTTTCATTACTGTCTCGAGATTTCAGTTAGACCTCGGCTGCGCCTCGGTCTAACTTAAATCTCTCGACAGTAATGAAACACTTTCCACCTCGGTATGTAATATACTATTACCTACCTATGTCAAATCATAGTTGCGAAACTAATTTCTGAAGGCGTCTTAGGACTCTCCGACGAGTTTCAACTGTGTCGATCTCCACTTTTTGCCATTTTGGTGATTGTGGTTTATCAATTAACGACTCCTCACTGTTTTTGATAATTGGAGCTAAAATTAAAATTAATTTTAATGTTTCTGACCTATGCTCCTTTAAACCCGAATTCTAACACGTTGTCGTTAATCAGAACTATGGGGAGGAGTAAGTGAAAATGTAAGTACGTCTTTCTCACATATATCTAGTATTAACTTACCTTCAGGGAGATACAGCAAAAGCGCAGCATTCCATGTGAGTCCTCGTCTGGCTTTTGGATCGCCAACAATAAATTCTCGAGGAAAATGTCTTGTTCACACTCTATAATTATTATAAGCACTCGACACTGAGGCTATTTAGTAAAGGATTGCGAACTTTTATTAGCCATTGTTTCATTTTTTCGGCATCTTTTGGAAACCGGAAATAGCTGCTGTATTTGTCGCCACACCCCGGAACACAGCATTCCTGATGCTTTTCAATTAACAAACTGGGAGAAGACATTATGAGATAATAATTATTGATAAAGGTAATTGATAATTCTAAATGTTGGGAGAAGTTCAAAATTTAAATTTTGACGACTGGAAATGAAAAAATAAACTTCAAATCTTGGCGCACGGTCCGGCAGGAAAAAGAAAACTTTAATAGGTTGATTGAAGCGCCTCTAGTGATTGGAGGGGAAAGCTGAAACGACTAGACTGACGTCTCTCATAAGACTTACATTTCTAAGGGGGGATATGTTTTGTGGTCAAGCCTCAGAAGGATCTTTGGATTTAGAGTAAACATCGGACCTCGAAAAGGTCGGAGGCAGTGGCGCAGCCGGGGGGGGGGGGGGGGGGCAGGGGGCCCGGACTCCCCCCAAGGCTCCAGAGAAAAATAACAAAGTAGACGCAAGCTGTAAACTGCTCATATCAGAGAAAGTTTAAAGGAAAGCAAATCTGTGTTTTTTCCTATATTCCCCGAAATCGTGTCACAAATTCGTCCGAAATCACCGAAATCTTTCTAAAATCCTACCGAAATCCCCAAAATCCTTCCGAAATCCACAAAATCACTCCGAAATCCGCCGAAATCCCTCCGAAATCTCTCGAAATCTTTCCGCAGACCCAAAAATCCCTCGCAAATTGGCCCAAAATTCATAAATTGGTCAACGCGGCCGTTTTTCAGTTTATACTAATACACTTTCGAATATACTTATAAGATAAGTAACAGTCTAATATCAAATTAAAATATTTGCGTAGTCACCAGAAATGCTCCGAAATGCTCCGAAATCACCCAAAATCCTTCGAAATCTTGTCACAGTGAATAATCCCTCGAAATCTTTCCGAAATCCAACCGAAATCCTCCGAAATCACCCGAAATCTCTCAAAATCGCTCTAAATCCGAAATCTTGTCACATTTTTCCCTAGTGAATAATCCCTCGGCCCCCCCCAGACCAAATTTCTGGCTGCGCCACTGGTCGGAGGAAAAGAGAGTTTCAGGCCTTCCCAGTCTGCAGCTCATAATGCCACATACCCTAGGAGATACCTATTGGAGCAGGAGCTGACTGTGAGAAAAGGAATCAGAAATACGTGTGGTGTGGGCTCTCGTACCAATTGGGATAGGCAGTGTGAAATGGCAAATACTTCAGCAATCCTTCCAGCATGGGTTGTTTCGTTGGAGAACTTAAACCACTGAGTTATAAACATTAAAATCTCCCGAGAGTATAATCTTGGATTTCAGATGGGTCTCCTGGATAGAATCAAATAAATTTGCTAGATTTTCAAATAGAAGCTCATAACTGGAGTCATGGAGCGAAAGATAAACTCAGCAAACAAACTTAACCATGTTCGTTAAAGCGTTAAAGTAATTTTTTAGGCGACTGTCACAAAAAGATTAGTTTTACGGATTCAATATCATCCCTAAAGTATATCTTTTTTGGCCGCATTTACTTTACGGCCGCATTTACTTTACGGCCGCATTTACTTCACGGCCGCATTTGCTTTATTACTTTACGGCCGCTTTTACTTCACGGCCGCTTTCACTTTACGGCCGCTTTCACTTTACGGCCGCTACATACTTTGGTGAAAATATATAAACAGACAATCGGAAACGCGGTCCGTAACTATAAACACAACCAATAAATAGTTAGCAACCACAATGGAACCAAATTTTTGATTTTAGCCCTATCCTATTACTTTTTCAAAAAAGCACAATATAGGATACCATGCGAAAAAGTCGGCAATTTTCTATAATCACAGTAATCACACTTCCTTTATTGTAGTTTTTGTTACTAATAATTATGTATCTACCTATCTTTGCTGGATTATTTATCTAATCAATAAAAAGTTAAAGCTCCTGTTGAATTTTCGTCTTTTTTCAAGAAAAAACACTCGCCTTAAAAATTTTGTGTGCACCTCGGCCGAAAGATCAACTTTACGGCCTTGGTACACAAATAACTATTTAATCAAATTACATCATGATCACAGGTGATTCGAGATCGAAATACAATTCTACAAACGAATATTCCTCTTTGCGAACGTTGCTGGCATACGCAAAGGAGAATTTGGAATTTAAGGGAAGGCGAACAAGGTTACACAGAATTTTACGTGAACAAAAACATGTTATTGCTAGGAAACATCTGGAAAACAAAAATTCAGATGAGAAAATTAGATTCGTGTATCTAAATGAAACCTGGATTTATCAAAATGGATCTTCGATTCTGCGATGGATGAACGAACCAAGAAGCTTTCCATCCAAAATCAAATCAGAGGAGAAAAGGTTTACTATTTTGCATGCTGAATGTTACTATTTTGCATTCAGGACTTTTAGACGAGTGCGACTTACAAAAAAATGACCGAGACTATCACAATACTATGAACTGGGATTTATTTCAAAAATGGGTCGTTAACCAACTCTTTCCTTCATATGTAAATTTGAAGAGAAATGCGTGGCAATTATGTATAACGCTCCATACCATTTAGAGCTGGTACATAGAATACCCACATTTTGTCAGAAAAAAAATCAAAATGCAGCAATGGTTGACTAAACATGAGATAACCTAACCCGACACAAACATGATCAAAAATCATTTATGGCAGCTAATACAACCATTTAGAAATTCACCATATTATGTTTTAAAATTGATGGGGTTTGGAAAGACCAGAAACGAAGTTCTTAGATTAGCCCCTCACCATTTCTTAAAACTTTCACAACAAAACTATACTCTCGCAACTACCATTAAAGTGAAGGATAGGGTTACAAGAGTATGGCATGAGTGTCTTCCAAAATGTACCTGCCTCAGACATGTGGAGAAACTTTTGTGACATTGCGAAACCATTAAAACGATTCTATGAAAGAACAGAACGATAAAGAACATAGCATGAAAAAACAAAACAGTCATAATACAGAACAAGGAAAAAAGAGAACCATGAGATAACAGAAGAAAAAAGAGAACACTGAAAAAAGAATACCTCCAACAAAACAAAATTCTGAAAAATGAAGAATAACAGGAAAAAAAAAAGATAAAAAACAAAAAAAAGGTACCTAATTATTGCATTTTAATTAAAATTATCACACTTTTAAAAACACAAATATCAGGAAAAAATACTGCAAGCTTGTCATTCGCCGCAAATACAAAAGTCTCCTAAAGATTCTAAAAGTATTGCAGCATTAAAGACATTATTTTAGTTGGCGATTCTTTGCTACCCCAAATCTTAAACACAAAACACAAAGGCTTCGTCATCAACTTTTCTGGGAGTATCGATCTGACTATCAACTATTTTGATGGCTAGACACATTGGGCGAATTCCTTTATTCATCAATGGAACAATTTGCTGATAGCCATTCCGATTTTCTATGAACTAGACAAAGATAGACTGGTCATCGATGGATTCATCGGTGAAGAAAAGAAAGCGCCCATTCTGAACACTGTTTTTTTTTTTTTTGTTTTTCAAGAGTTATTTTGCCTTTAGGTATTTACAATAATTTTGCATTCAAAACCTTGACCTTCGATTTCATTGTTATTCCTCATTCAGTATAAAAGCATATTAAGAAATGTGTATTCGCTTCCGAAGTGCAATAAATTAATACATAGAAAATGCTCAGGCACAGCTTATAGACAGGCCACAAAATCGTTGTACTTTGTATATCTATTTCAGGAAAATGTTCCATTTCTATACACAAAAAAAGGTACCTACATAGAATTTGCCTCACAAGGCATAAACTTATCTAATTTCAAGTCTTGTGAACAGAATACAATTTTTGTGAAAAAACTGTCGTTTAGGAAAAATCTATGTGCTTGCTGAAATACCAAGCAATTGACATCTACAATAACAATCGCTATTATTTTAAATTCAATAAACTCTTAAAATGTTTCCTTTTGCACGACAACTATTTCCTCTTTGAATGCATCGTTTGCACCCCAACAGCTATTTTTGCAAGTGTAAATAAGCACAGTGCCAAAATCCAATCTATTTAAATGATTAGCGTCACATTCTAGTCGTAACTTGGAAATTATAGTAGGGATTAGTTGGAATTCAAAGACTAGCTCCTTTTGACAGTGCTTGCATTTTTTCAGGGGTTCTTGGAGAGGATAGAGAAGTAAAGGAGAACCTTCACGACAGTACCTGAAAAACTTAGTCAATATTTTGAAATTTTAATTTTCAGCTGAGGATACCTTAAAACTTGTTCAGGATTTGATTTGATTTTTGTGACGAAATGGTGGAACATTTTATCGCCGTGCAAGGGATGGCTTTTTTCATATTCTTCGGCGGCCATTTCGACATCACCTTCTAAAAATTGAGAAATAGTTATCACAGGAATATAAAGACTTTTATGGGCTTACCAGGTTTGCCTTTATTTTTGCTATCTTTGTTGTGCGATAAAAGAAAATCGGCATCTTTGCGTTGATAGTCGCTTAGAAGCTCTTTGACATGATCATCCAATGCAGGTACCAGAAGCGTGTCCTGAATAATATGAATTTTTATTCGAATGAAATGAAGTTTATTGGTAATAGTATTAGAGTAGAGCCATTTTCAATAACAATACAATTTGATCTTATTACATGACATTAACTCCCTTAGAGCTTTGTCAATAGTCTAAAAATCACTAACCGGTTCTTCTGGATAGACAGACAAAAAATAAGCTAAAAAAGGCGCATGTAAAGGGACAGTATCCATATTTGTCTGTCCTCCTTGAAGAAGAGCCACCAAGTTGGTTTGTGGAGTGGTTGGACTTTCCACTGTTACGACTTCTCCATCTTCTTCTCCTTCAATTTCGGCTGTCGCCATTGGAGAATGTAGACGAGCGACTGCACCACCTGGAAAAATTAATCTGTTATTTTTTTGATTTTTTCTAGGGTGTCTGGCAATATATTCAGCAAAATCGAATTTGCTATTGATGAACTTTTTGATTACCGTATAAATGGTGTGAATTTAAAAAGTTTAACATTCCAATAGAATACTAGCTGGCACAAAGTATTTGTGTGGCGGGAAATAAAATCATGTTAACTTGGTTCTCTGATCAAGTTATCAGAATAAATTGATAAGGCAAGGATCATTTTTCAAATACATTGTTAAAAATGATTTTCCAGATAGTCAAACAACCATGTTTTAAGTAAGAGGAAGGAAAGAGTTCAAAAACGGGAGTGAAGATAAGCAAAATACTAACGAATGAAGTCAAAATATAGGAAAACCGCCACTGTTATAGCCAACTACCCTTCCCAAATATCGAAAAGAGATCGCAAGAAATCGTGTATGAGGCACAGAACACGGGATGCAGCTTGACAAAACCATTCTTTTTTCGCCAGATTCAACAGGTTCAAATAGTTATTCCATGGCTTGATGCACCATAGAAGTATCAAGCGACTCATAGTTGTTTTGAGATAGCAGATAGCAGTAAGTACACTGTAAAAATGCAGGGTAATACGGGTACTCTAGATAAATAAGGAAAAACTAGGCCAATCCGTCTGTAGGAACCCAGAGATTGGTAAGAAATCATGAAGAAACAGGAAGCACTGAGTAAAAGCATTCATTATCAATCCACAAAAGTAGTCCAGATTGACCCACCATAACTCATCCGGAAAGCTCACTAATTCTCTTTGAGATTTACCTGATCAAGTAGCAGTTTCGCAAAACAACCAAAAACGCCTTAAGCCAATTTAACCAATCAAGTGTTAAGTCAAATTCTATAAGCCAAATATAACAGAGTACAACCTCCCAACTATAGACACAGATCCTCATTCCTCAGCATTGCGAGCGAGCTCGAGAAGATCTACAGGCACTATGAAGATGAAGCTCGTTGTGTTCTGATGAAGCACACAGGGCTCTGGAAAATCTTTAATCTGCTTATACAGAAACGAACAGTTTTACCCAGAGAGACAAAGAACCTCCCTAATACATAATATAAGTTGGTTGCAACACGTTTTCCGTTTTCCAATTGTAAATGTCCACTAGTTCCCATGTAGGCCTCTGTTGCAAATTTTATCATGCACCTACGCTTTCTCTCCAGATTTTTCTAGGTCTTCCTCGTTCCCCTTTTCCATTTGGGTTCCATTGCAGAATTCGTTTTGGTAAACTGGAATTTGCTCTACCGTATTTAAAACTATAATAGGTTCCTGTTTCTGTCTCAAATACACATAAACTAGGTTTTCTTCAGATTGTCTTCCGGTTCTCAATTTTTGTATTAATCGATAAGTGATAAGTTCTCTTATCATGTAGGATGTAGGTACTCTAAGTCGTTGTAGACGAGCCTTTACTAAACTAATCATTTGAACGGGAACCACTTTTGGATAACTAGCGGGCCAATTTTGCCTCCTAATTTCTAGTTGATAACACATTTCCATCCACTTAGATACAAGATACAAGGTGAAATATCAGTTGGCGTATTTTTTACAAAAGTTTGGGTTTGACCCATTTTTCTGGAATTCTGGATTGAGGAGATTCCTGTTCCTTATTGTTTCTCCACACATTACGTAGAGTAGTGATCACAGAAATACCTCTATTGTTGTTGCAGCAATCTTTGCTTCCTTTGTTTGAATTGTGGATATGTAAGAAGCTTTCCATTCATCTGGTACTTTGGTTCTGTTCAAGTTTTTCTCAACAGATTTCGTATTCGACAAAATAGTTCTTCAGTGCCATACCTATACAAATAATTCTGCTTGCATATTAGGTACCTTGTTCCAGAAATTTTTTCGTTCTTCATATTTCTAAACAGTTTTTGTAACCTCAAGACGTGTTAACGGTCCAATATTTTCGATCACATCGAGGGTCTCTTGTTCTTGAAACTGTGCTCGTTTTTCTGTAAATGTTGAACCCATGATCTATTATTTTGGAGATTTAATATGTTTCTTTTCTCAATGTAACTACTCTCTGTGCTTCTTTCTTCTTTGACCTCCTATCCATACAAGTCTCTTTTTTTGGCATCTTCTAGAGCATGATTTATTTTTCTTTGGCCCTATCATTCTAAATAGGTGGTTTTCCTAACAGCGTTTTGAATAGATAATTAAAATTGATTATTCAATTAATTTGATAAAAGATACGATACCGCTTCATGACAAAATTGCATAAAGCCTTCAGAAAGTAGTTTTGAGGAACCCTACTAGACATATTTCGAAAAATCGCCTTTGTATAGAACTTACGCATTTAGACTTTATGACGACTTCTCCGCCGAAATGGTTAACCTTAGCGAAACTATGCTAAATAAATAGGTACATTTTTTGTATGAAATTTTCTCAGGGCAGCCATCTTCGAAAGATGGCGGCGCCGGCGGCAAGTTTCGAATTGTGCATTTTGTGAATATTACTTCTACACACCCAAACCAACAAACCTGTAAAATTTCAAAACTTCCCAAGTTTTCCGCATTTGTTAGATCAATAACTATAACAATAATTTAAGTCTATGCAGTATTTGTGATCCTTTTTCTCTGTTGAGGGGCTTTCTTGTATTTTCTCAGTATCTACGTTCTACGTGTTAGCTTAATCATTTGCGGTATACCGAGCTTTAGCTTTGGGTTCTCAGTCTGTTTTTTTAATGTTTTTTTCTGTCTGTTTTGTATTGATTACTCAGCTCGCATCATTTCCCTTGTAGAATCAGATTCCTCTTAGGATTCAGAGGTTGCTTCTGAATCTGATGATTTTCCAAGAGAAATGATGATAGGAGGAATATTTTCAAAAGGTGATTGCGAGTTTGGGGTTTTGTTGTAGAAGTTTTTACAAAACCCCATGCCATTTAAATGGTATTGATTGATATTGAAAAGGGTAGGCAGGTATAATCTAGAACTTCATGACCGTTGTCTTTCAAACGAGTCTGAGAACATCGGCTGCTAACTTCAGATCTACGCAATATATCAAAAAGTTCTACAATCAAATAAAACTTTTATTATAAAATACTTATACCGTGGAACTTACAGAAGGGTGGTTAATGTGGCAAAAAGGTTGTATGTACTATGGGAATCAAATTGAACAGACTTGCAATAAGAATATAGAATCATGCATGGAAACTCGTAAATAAGTTTAGAGGTAGAAATTCGTTCATGATTTCCTCAAATTTCAAAGCAAATGATTTAATTTTTTTTTTTTAGTGTAACGTAGCTCATGATTTGTCAGATTTGTCTAGTAGAATAACATCCTATAAAGAACCTTCTGACTATCTAAGCAATATCAATCTGCATCTGGGACGTTTTTCCTCTATTTAGCAACATCTGTAAAGATTAGAGATATCTTTAAAAGATTAAAAAATAAGAAAGAAGCCTCTCTTGCTCCGCTACGTTAGCTACGTAGCTCGACTATTCACCCTGAAAATCAGAACGGGAAGGGAAAGGGAACACCAGAAAAACTCTAGATTAATATAATATATTTAATGTTAGAGTAGAGATTGCATTTAGTGTAAAACACACCAGTAGGTATTACCATATTCTTACCATCCCAAGCCAGCACGTCCCTTCGGGCTGAAAAGGGTCTAAGGGCACCTGAGCGAATCCGTCGGGTATAAACAATGACATCAAAACACAGATAGACCGAACAGAACAATAAACAAAATTTTCGTATGACAACATCTCTCTGTCTCTTTTGGGTCTTTCTGCTATCCCCACCACTGAGAATGCCAAATTTTGTCTTGAAACCCTAAATAATATATTTTTATCCTTTTCTAATTAACGTTTTCAATTTTACTTCTGAACTCAATTTGGCAACAGCAGATTGTAGCAAAACACCGCCCAGAAGCGGCTTGTTGAATGGCAGGCAGGTGTTTGTTGGAGTAGCTAGCTATCTTTATCGCAAACAGGGATTATTTATTAGCGTTAAATAAGAAACGACCGATACGATATTGGTACTCCCAGAATAAAGGGCTCGTATCGAATATTTTCAGTTTATTTGTCAATTTGTTATTTTATTTATTCATCCAATTAAATTTCGAGATATATTCACGTGTGGGCGGGGTTTTTTACACCATTTTGAGCAATGATGTCTCCCTACCCCGACCCCGCGAGCAACTCACCTCCCCTGGCCCATGGGTGGTCTTGTCAACACAACAAATAACAGTTTATGAATGGGATGATCCGTCTATCTGTGTTTTGATGTCATTGGGTATAAACCACTGATCTCAAAAATAAATGGATAAACAAAGAACGCTTCTAATGCTGCTAATTTACGAGGTCATAATCTAAACAAAAACAACTGACTGGGACAGCTGTGAGCGTGCGCAGTAGATATATGTAAAGTGCGACAAGTGAGTGAACCTTGATAACGTATGAAGTAGCAGAGGGGAAGACGAAAACCTATACTATACGACGCGATGGGTCCCCGACGTGGTGCATTGCGAAAATTGCGTTTACCCTGACGCGACGACCCGCGTATATGTATATTTAATCTCGTACCAATCAGTAGGGTTATGCCCGCATTCCTTCCTCACAGGTTCACTCACTTGTCGCACTTTACTGTGCATGCACAAAATCTAGCCAATGAAAATGAAGGAATTTCAAAATTCAGAACAGTTGTTCGAAAGATAAGACACTGCGCAGGCGTTAGGCTGTTCCGTTGCACAACTGTTCGTAGAATATTGACGCCAAATTTTCGCACAAATTTTGCCAATCAAGCCGTATGATTGTTTATCCATTTATTTTTTAGATCAGTGGTATAAACCCAAGCTTGATCTTTGTGGTTAGCAGTTGCTAAGAAAACCAAACCAACACCACAATAGAAGCTAGAAAGCCTGTACTGCAGAGCAGAGTCTGGGTCGTCAGTTGAAATCTGCTCCAACAGAGATACGATACGCAATCCCTATTCGGCCAGATAGCTCCCAACTTTGAGACGTATCTAAGACG